TCCCAAATTTTTTCTGTTTGTGTATTGATCTTGTTAGAGTTCTTATTTATATTATTAATAGTGTAGGTTAATATTATAATTCCCATAATATCAATTTACTATAAATAAGAGAGTATAGAGCAACATAGCCTATATGATTGATTATTCTTTTACCTGTTTCTCTTTCTTCTCTCTCTAACGCAAATATACTTTTACTATTTCAACTTGGTATCAGAGCAAGATTTTTTTTGGGTTAATTGTACGGGAGGTCCCTAAAGTATGAAATTTGTCTCATTTTAGTTCTCAATATTTTAATTGCATCATTTTGGTCTCTAAAGTATTGAATATGTTTCTATATGGTCCTTCAAGCAGACAACGTCCAGATTACTAACGATTTTTTAGCATAAACTTGTCACGTGATATTAAATATAGATAAAAAAATAATTTGGATAATTCTTGACCAAATTTTTACTCAAATTTTGGTTAAATAGCTACCCAAATTACACCATTTTGATCATAGGCTATCTCAATTTTGGTCAAAAATTACTCATATTACACATTTTTTGTCAAGAGCTACCCAAATTTTATTTAACAACTATCAAAATTATTTTTTGTTCATATTTACATACTACGTGACTAATTTATGATTAAAAATCGTTAATAATTTGGACGTTGTCTGTTTGAGGGATTAAAAATCGTCAATGCTTTAAGGATCAAAATGATGTACTTGAAATATTGAGAATCAAAATGAGACAAACTCCATACTTTGGGGATTACCAGTGCAATTAACATTTTTTTTCAGGCAAAGGCCTGTCAAAACAACACAAAAAAAAAAGGAGAAACAAAAGTGTCATGTTGCTGACATCATTGCCCTGACATCATTGAATGCTGACATCATTGCCAAAATGCTGATATCAGCACTTTCTGGTGATATTCCGATGCACGGAATATTACCTCCATGGTCGTCTTGTTACCCTTGTAATTATGCAAGATATTAAATGTTTCCCGTTCAGTCAACCCAAAAACAGATGCAAGATATCCAACCAATCAATCCAAGGCCAGCAAGAAATTCAAGACAAAATTTGCCTAGATCAGTCAACTCAAATCAGATTCAAGAGAACCAACCAATCTAGCAAATACTTGAACCAAAAGAAAAAACCTGCTGGCTGCAAGAAACAACACAAACAGATCAGATGCCCGGCAGAAAAGCCCAACCAAAACAAACGATCACAAAGAACAATTGCCCAGACTTGTTGACGAAGAACACAACATGAAGAGGATCCACGAATTGCAATAGAGAGCAACTCCAACGTGAAGTATATCATGATGCAGGTCAGCCAGTATAAATTGCTAGGAATGAAACCAACAAATCTAGAAAATTAACCTACAAAGATCTCGACACCAGAACAGAAGCAGCATAAACAGCTTCTAGCCGAACCAAGAATAGCCAAACTTCCACTCAAATCAGTTCCAAGTGCTTCGAATCCTTCAAATTGATTTCCAAAAACCCTTAATTACACTTCCTAGTAGTGATTAGAAGCAGGAATTTCACGAAAAATATTGTGAAATCCACATATTGAAAGTTTTTGATTCGAAATCTGGAAAATCTTCAAAAAAATCAGAAATCCTATTAGAGACCACAAAATCAAAAATTAAACACACCATGTTGAAGCCAATTCCAAGTCGAGCAAATTGGTGCCCTCAAGTACTTCTGGTAGCTGATGTTATGATGACATCATCACCTGTGTGAGTGATGCCAGCCTTTGTTTGATACAGATTTGTCTTCTGATGAATACCTTTGCATTCCCAATCGTGTTTAGGATCAAAACATGTTTTGATACCATGAAAACTTATATTGCAAAGTATAGAGAAAATGAGAAGAAAAGAAGACTTGTTAATGGTCCCATCAGTCTGCTATAAGCATAATAATAAAAGGTGCAGAATATAGATCCTATATAGTAGGACAAAACAATATTAAAGAATGAATAATCTACTCCTAATACTTAAATACTCTAACAAGGGTAACCAACCCATTGAGTCAACTTAATTTGCTACTTCCCATGCCAATATGATCATCTATTAGTTGGCTTGTGCATGCTTTTGTGGCTCTTTTCACAGCAGAAGAAAGATAACAAATGGAACAGTATTTATGACTGTACTTCCAGAGCTTGAAATTTGATTTATGCCTCCAAAATAACTTGAGATACTTAATACAGTCTTGGCAAGAAATGTTTACCTCATTAATTGACTACTTTGTACTTGTTCTTCATTTAATTGACATGTATCTAAAGCTATTCTTTTCACGTTGCAGGTAAGGATGCTCCTGTTCGATGAATTTCCTTTTTGATCTAGCAGATTATACAAGAAGTATATGCATCTACATTAGATGCATTGGGTGCTTGCTCTTCTCCTTACATTAATATGTTCAAAGTTGCACATGCCCACCATCAATATCACTGCATCACGGTAATTTTTTCCTTATTGGTGAAATGGATGCTAGCTTTCCTGGCTTTCGATTGTAGGAAAAATCATTATGGTACTTTCAGGCCCTAATGAAATGGTTAAAGCTCTATTTCTTGGCTTGTACAAATGACACTTTGGACTCATCCCATTTTTGACAATTACTTTCTAGGGTTCTTTTGAGTGATCAGGCAATGTACAGCATTAGTTAGTTTTAATTTTTTTCTTTCCTTGCTAGAAAATATACAGCTATGGTTTACTATCGTTCATCCATGTCTCATTTAAGCTGCAAATTCACCAGTTTCTTATTCCTTGTAGAGAAGAATGCTATACGCTCCTTTTTTTGATGAGAAGGGAATAAATTTTTGTTCTGGCTAGTGATGTTGAAAATTTGGGTGTTCATTTCTTTTTTTGCATGGGCACTATGATTGCTTTCTCTCCCCTTTTTTATTTAAAGCATCTAAGACCAGGTTGGTACATGCTTTTGGAATGTCTTATCGTTGAGATGAGTTAGCCAGGATGGGCAATACAGTAATCGAGTTCCAAGCCTGATTGGGGTGTTTTGAACTTGGAGTTACTCTAAACCTAATATAAATTTGATAATGAAGGGCAATCCTCGTGTATTTGGCTGCCTTTTATTCAAGTGATCAGAACAAACAACTAAGGTATATTTTGATAATGTTTTTTATTCTTTATTTTTTTTTAATATTTTGAAGTAGCAATTATTTATAGTTTTTTATTTTTTGGGGGTTTGCTCCTTTACTCTTAAGTTTAGTCACATTCATGTTAATACCTATTGGTGCATAGATAAATGCTAGGGTTAATTACAAAACCCAACACCCCCCGGGGGTTAATAGCTCCCTTGGTTTCAATTTCTTCAATTGGCCCCTCAAGTTCTCAATGGACTAAATTAATTGATGGAATGGATGGAAAATATAGGGTCCTGAAATGCCCTTCCAACATTAAGTGATATTTTCCTTCCCTCTAACTACCCGTCACGGTCTCCCTATCCCCTTCTTCACAGTAATGGCCACCGCTCAATCATCACCTATGCCAACCCCACAACACACATTAGTATACCCCACTGCCATTGCAATTCAAATCAAGCATCTCACATATCCATTCAATTTCAACAAGTGATGGTGCATCACAGATGGAGCCGACGGCCATACCCTATGGATGTGATGGCAAACACTAACACCCACCATGACCAGACACCACCCAAAACAACCACAGATGTTGTTTGAGCACAACACTAATTTCACCCCGATTGTTTTGAAATTGCACGGGTGATTTCATGCAATGATTTGAGATGGTGGTTACTGGTTAAACTTGGACAAGATTCTTATAACATGGAGCGAGGTCATAAATGGGTTGGAAGTGTACTCGTTTATTCCCTCTGATACTTTAGTCAGTTGACACTTAAGATTGAGAGGATGAGAGGATAAGAGTATTGTGTAAGTATATTTTTCATGCATACATGAGTTCTGCCTTACTGGGCTATTTATACTTCCTGTCAACCACTTGAGTGCATTAAGCCTAAGCTTGGCAGTCTATGGCTGAAATCCCTCATTGAGGGCTATCGTATCAGTAGGTCTCCCATCTCCCGTCATGGAACCGCGTAATAAGTGAATCTTGTCACATCTCATTAATGCTTGGTGGCTGGATGTAATCATGACTTCAATGCTTAGGAGACTGAGCATTTATTACCTCCCTCCCTTAACTATTAAGTCATCCCGAACATCAAGTTCTTCATGTCGAGCATTGAATTTGATGCCCTTGAGATCTATCCACGTAAGGGAGGGCCATGCATCCTTCTGTTTTTCCCGAGAGTTTGGTTATTAGCCCAAGTTGACATGACAAAGTAATGATCGTTTGTCATATCAACATACTGCATGAGACATCTTTCTCAAGAGCAATTAATCCTCGGTGTTGCCCAAGAACATATTTCCTTCGTGCTCATTTAGCATTGAGTGTGCTCGTCCTTCGGTCTTGGCTTGGAGTAGTTCAGGGGACATACCCATCAGCAATACTATGCCATGTGTTGACTCATGAGTGGCCCATGTTCCATCAATTGCCCCCAGCCTTTGGTTTCCTTGCGTCATAGGCCATGTGGTGTGAAGGGATTGAAGGCTTCTCGCGCACACCTCCACTTTAGGGGTCGTTACACGCATTTTTGTCGCCCATTTTTGAATTCACATTGAATGCTCCCGTCTCTTCGGTAACTATTGCCACATCGAGTAGTATAAATAAGGGTGGCATTGAGACTCTTCAGAAGATCCACTCTCTCAAGCCCTTCTATCTCTTGAGTAGTTCTTCAACAAGGATAGAGATCGAACACCAAGTTCCTTCGAATCCCTTTCGTTCCAACATTTCAATTTTCACTATCAATTCTAAAATGGACCTTGTGTTTTCCAGATCAGCCAACAAAATAGAGTGATCATCAACCGCTTCTAGGATTACAGGACCCAGGTCAAGATTGATAGGAAGAATCTTCACATTCATCTTGTTGAAAAGATAGTCGCTGATAAGGTGACGCAGATTGGTGACTTATTAGGCGAATGGACGGTATGTCTTCTAACTTGGAGAAGATCAAGATTGTTAGGGTAAAGGAAGATAAAAAGATGAGTGAGGTCAAGCTTAAGGTCTCTGCTACCTAGGCCAAACTGTTGGAGGCGGAGAACCATTGTGCCCCCCTGATTACTCAGGTTGAAGACTTGACTGTGGTGAAAGCGAACACCGAGAACAGAGAGAACTCAATCCATATCTAGGGGTTCAATCAATGCCAGCGTCAAATGATGAAGGCATTTGCAAATGGCCGGAGGAAATCCTTCAAGAAATAGTGGGATTTGGCTCTTTAGGCTGCAGGAGTGAGCATTGAGTCGGAGCGGTTTGAGCTATACATCTTCGTTCCGAGCTAGTATCTGATGAAGAGGTTAATCCTTCCCCTACGGACACTCTGCAGGAACCCCCCCCCCCCCCCCCCCCCACGGAAGGCCAGTAGGAGGTCCCAATTGCGAATGTGTCAAGGGGTCCAGCTCCGGTGAATGAGCCGATTCCGGTAAGTGATATGGATTTGGGCAAAAGTGTGATGTCCTCTTTTCGACTACCTTCCATTGCATTATCCTTTCATCTTCAAGATCCTGCACTCCCTAATACCCCTACTGGCTAGTAGAACCTTGGGGAGATTGAGGAAATTGAGGACCTGTTCGGCAGCCAAGACAAAGGTGGGGGCGGAGAAGGCGATGTGGAGGCTTTCAAGATGGAGACAACTAGGAAAATGGGGCCGGGAAATGAAACTTCTATGACCCCTATGGGGATGTTTTTATCTTATTGCTCTCTTCAAACTTTGTAGGTCTCAGAGCCTTTTCACGATCTTCTCTTTTCCTTTTTTATTTTCCTTTTTATTTTTTCATGAAGGACGTAAAGCCGTCGGTTTATTAATGCAATTCCCCTTTCGTAACTTAGCATTATTTCTGGTTCAGTTTGAACACAGTCCTTTGCATCGGCGAAGTATTACTCTTCTCGGGGTTGCGCCCCAAATAGTTAAGTGCAAGACGAATTCCAACTTTTTGAACTGGGGGTCATGCCCGTAATGACCAAGCATAGAGCTCGTTTTCCAATTTTTTTTAGCACAACGTTTTGCATCGACAAAGGCTTATCCTGCTTGGGGTTGTGCCCCTAACGACCAAGCGTAGAGCTTGTGTTTCAACTTTTTAAGCACGATGCTTTACATTGGCAAAGGCATACCTTTCTTGGGGTCATGCCCCTAACGACCAAGTGTAGAGCTTGTGTTCCAACTTTTTGAGAACGACATTTTGCATTGGCAAAGGCTTATCTTGCTCGGGGCTGTGCCCCTAATGACCAAGATCAAACCCATGTTTTCAGACTAGTCTTGACATCGTCATAGGGGAAATTCATTAATAATAATTCTTTTAACAAAAATTAGATACATTCCATGATTAGGGGACAATTTTCCCTTCTACATCTTCGAGCCTATATGATCATGTGCCCTCTATTGTAGTGACCTTGGAGGGTCCTTTCCAATTGGGGTCAAGTTTCCCGTTAGTTGGCTCCTAAGTGCCCCCATCACTTTGCAAAGCACTAGGTTCCCCACTTGGAAGTCCCCAGCTCGGACTTTTTTCTGATGCTGTCTGGATAGTTTCCCTTGACCTGGCCAGTTGAATGACCGCAAGTTCTCTTCTTTTCTCGGCAAGGTCAAGGTCCCTAGGGCTTCGTCATTTATTCCAAGATTCAAAGGCTTGACTCCATATGGTTGTAAGCCCAACCTCTAAGGGGATCATCGCTTCCATATCGTATGCTGGCACGTAGGGGGTTTTCCTTATTGATGCATGTGGAGTTGTTTAGTATGCCCACACACGTTTAGTAATTCGTTGGTCCATCTCCCTTTTGCCTTCTCCAACCTTTTCTTGATTCCTATCAGGATAGTTTTGTTGGAGACCTCGGCCTGCCCATTACACTATGGATATGCGGAGGTCGAGTAATAATTCTAAAATATCGAATACCATGCAAAATTATTTAAAAGAGCTGCTATTGAATTGTGTTCCATTGTTTGAAGCAATAGCTTGAGGGATGCCAAACCGAGTGATAATGTTTTGCCATACAATTTTTTTGGTGTTGACATCTCGTATGCGGCTTAGAGGCTCGGCTTCAATCCACGTTGTGAAATAGTTGGTGGCCACCAAAAGGAATTTCTTGTTCAACGGGGATGTAGGAAGTGGGCCTATTATATCTAGCACCAACTAAGAGAAAGGTTAATGGCTCGTGAACGAGTTAAGATCTCTAGTTGGCTACTGAATGATAGGTGTAAACTTTTGACACTTTTTGCACTTTTGTACATACTGCTTGGACCGCCTGCCCATGTGGGCTTTACGTATCCCTTTGTGGATTTCATATAGGAATGGTTGTACTTTGTCTTTGGGAACACACAAGAGATATTGTTTCGAAAAAGATTTTCAATAAAGCTTTTGGTTGGGAGATACCTAAAACCTCGGGGCTTTGAGTCTTATCTTCTTGGCTTCCTTGCCACACTCTGGAAGTTCTTCTGTCGATAAGTACTTGACCAAGGGCTCCATCTAGCTTGGAGGAGCGTCATGTGCACTGATTGGGAGTACCTCGGCGGTACTTGAGTTGGCAATACTTAAGTCCGCAGATACTCCACCATTATTCTTCAGGTGATATTAGATGCCAAGGTTATGGAGAAGCAAGCCAAAATGTCGGCATGACTATTATGATCTCGGTGAATTTGGGATACTTCAAATCCTTGAATTCTCATATGAGTGTCCGCACTTTTTGATAATAAGCCTTCATCCGAGGGTCTCAGGCTTCAAAATCTCCATTGACTTGGTTGACCATCAGCCGGGAGTCGCAGAACACCTGAATGTGTTTGGCTTTAACATTTTTTGCCATGCCAAGTCCCGATATAAGAGACTCGTATTCTACTTCGTTGTTTGACCCTCCAAAGTTGAGTCGAATTGCTCTATCCATCGCAGATCCCTCGGGACTAGTGATGACTATCCCCACTCCTGACCCCTTTGCGTTTGATGACCCTTCAATATGTAATCTCTAGGATTCACCGGGTATAGTGGGGTCTTGCTTCCGGGGTTCCTCCAGCGAGGGGCATTCAGAAGCAATAAACTTAGTGATTAAGGCGACCAAGACCTGTCCTTTAATGGATATTCGGGGTTGATAGTGCATGTCAAACTCCCCTAGCTCAATAGTCCATTTGGCCACCCTTCCCAAGAGGTTTGTTTTCCAAACGATAGCCTTTAAGGGTCGATCGGTCAAAACCTCAATAGTGTGAGCTTGTAAATAGTGTCTTAGTTTCCTTGCCAATATGACCAAGGCAAGGATTACCTTCTCCATCAAAAGATATCTTGAGCAACGAACACCTTGAAATTTTGGGAGATGAGGCAGGACTTCTCGAGGAGCAACTCCAATCAATTAGGACACTGGCCTCTTCTCACTTTATTGTTGAAGAACACCGTCAAGCCCTAATGCAGCTGATCAGTTTCAAACCCTTCTTCAGGAGGCTGGGTTATTGTATCAGAAACGTCAAGATTGCCTTGCATCATTCATGATCAAAGGGAACGACTAGTCAACTTGCAAAAACATATCCAAATTTTCACTAGCCATTCCCATCGCTTCGCCTCTCTTCCTGAAAAGCTGGCAGAAAAAGACCTTCAAATTGCTAAGTTGGTGGTTCACTGAGTGGCCTTGTTGGAGGAGTATGCATCCTTCCATGAGTATTTGGAAGAAATAAAGACCACCTCAGAAGCTACTGCAGCCTATGTGGATGATGACTCAGCCTCTGTCGATTCAGCTTTGGCCGAATTCCAGGCTGTTAATAGTTCCCTATACCAATTAGAAGCCAATTTTCAAATCTTATACGATTTCTAGAGAAATGAGAGATAAATAAAGATGAACTGTTTTGTCCTTTATTTCTTTATTTATTTTTGTCTTTTCCATTTATCACATGATGATTGATATGACTGTGACTTAACTAGCACTTATTGTCATTTAAATCACGTCTCCATTAGTCGGTCCTTGTGCATGCATTCAAACACTTTGACTTCCTTAGAAAATGGCGCTTTATTCTCCTTTCATTTAATAAACATAAATATTGGCGGTTCCCGAGATGAGGCCATTAATGCATTCAAACTCCTCATGGCCTATAAATACCAATGAGTACTGGGTAATTTGGAGCAAACCAAAATTCCCCAAGGATATTTTCCCTATTATGCAACAACCTTATTCCTTCTAACCATATTGACATAAAAGAAAGAAAATTGGAAGATGATTTTGTTAGTCCCCAACCTCTTTCTCCTTCGATTTTAGCCAATGGAGTTACTTTTTCTTTGTCTCCTAACATCGACAGTTGTCTTTACCAACTTACTTCATATACCTCCGAAAAGATGGGTGCTTCAGTGCACTTGTATTCTTTGGTCAGGTTGATGATCCTTTTCTTGGGGGTAAGGAAACATGGATTGATAACATGCACTTGAAGAAATTAGAAGAAAATACTACATCTGGCTTCTAGCGCATCTTATGGCCCTGAAACCTGTTTCCCTATTTAATCTTCAGCTTGACTAGGGGATCAACTACTTTTGTACTGATCTGGAATTGAGAGGTGAGGACTAAGGGAGGTCCCCTATTGGGGAAGTTTCTGACTGGGAAGGCTTGTGTCAAAGGCCATTCTGCCTCATGCACCCAAACTTTCATTCATTTCTTGCTTCTTTCTGTGTCTCTGATGCACAAGTTGTCATCTTCAAACTTGGACAAAAATCCTCCAGAAGTAGACTACTTTGATGCAACACTTTACTTTTCTTTATGTTTTCAAATTTTATCCACCGAATTTGTACAAAACTTCATGAATAAAACTTGTAATACCTTTTACTTCTTTGTTGTAATTTTATACAATTGTTAAGTATTAAGACAAATAATGTAATGGTCGTCGACCTGCATTGGGCTGGTAGTTGTGACCTCCTCTGTTTAAAGGTCTTGTTCGCATTATGCAACCTCCTAGATCATTGATTTGTAAGCCTTCAAAAATTGCTTGTTGATGGAGCGATTGTGACACTCTCTATCTAAGTTCCTTAAGTGGTAAACACCATCTCTCTTAATTTTTAGGACTTTAAACGACTCTTTACACTTGGCAGACCATTTGCCAAATCTTTGGTCGTTAAGTCCTACAAGCAACCTTGCCTTAGAGACCAAGTTACCTACCCCAAACGCCTTGTTTTTACTCTTCTGTTGTATGCTCTAGTGGCCCTTAGCTTCTGCACTTTTATGTAATTTAACGCGCCTAATCACACTTCCTCTAAGTCTTCAAGCTTTATCATCATGGCTTCATTATATTCAGCTGGACTTAAGTTATGTTGAAAAGCCACTCGCAACGAATTCACAGTGATCTCCATTGGCAAGACCACATCATGCTCGTAGGTTAACTTGAATGGTATAACTTCTGTGCTAGACTGTTTGGATGTTCTGTACACCCATAGTGCTTCTGACATCTTATCATGCCAGCCTTTTGGATTGTCTTACACAATTTTTGCGATAATTCCTTTCATCACTTTGTTGGCGGACTTAGCCTGGCCATTTCCTTGTGCGTAGTATGTTAAAATGCTATTCTTCTACAAAACCCTTAACTTCACTTCCTGCAAAGACGTTTCCCTTGTTGGCCACTATGTGCTTGGGATGCCCGTACCGATGCACTATATTCTCCTTTATTATTCGAATGATATCGGCTTGGTTGACCATTCTCATCGGGATGACATCTACCCACTTAGTGTAATAGTCGATGACCAGGATGATAAAATAATGTTTTCTTGTAAA